GTCAAACTTTAACACCGCCTTTCCTTCTTTTGTTATTTGCCCATTGTAATGTTCCCACTTACATCACCTACTTTTTATGCATCTACAAAATCATTCCATACCAATCCATATATATATTATATAAAATATTCATCCTTCCAAATTTGAAGATGCCAATGTGAAAGCATCTTATATTCATGCCACTGTGAAAAATATACAATAATTAAATGAATGTCGTTATTAGATAACATATATGCCATGTCAAAGTTATACTTGGGTCTAAGAATTAAACAAATGTTGTGATTGGATTAATAAATAAGTATGGTGGAATTATCCTTGAGTCTATAAATTAACTAGAATGTGTTTAAAAATTACAAATGTCAATGATGGATAGACACATGCAATGTGGGGCTACCATTGAGTTTGAAAATTAAAATGTATGTTGTGATTTGATAGACATTATCGTGATTGGTTAAACATATATGTAATCTTGAAATTACCCTAAGTATGAGAATTAAGCGGTTATTATGATTGGATAAAACGTCAACCTCAATTATTCTCGATATCTTTGTATTCAGCTATTGGACCAATGACTGGGTAAATAAATTGGATTGAGCAACAACTTAATCCCACTGTGGCCACATATTTGATGTCATTGCCATTTACTGAATTGCACAGTGAGATAAACTTCTCCTGTACCCGGGAGTGATGAATCCTTTGTCGATCCACCATAGTCTTGATACACTCTTCGATGCAGCCAATCACTACCGTATTGATAGCTCTAAATAGAACTATGTTGGGCTAGTGTTAAACTACACCAATCGGTGCACAAGACACTCCGGTGATCTCAAGTCTAAGGACACATGCACCACCATTCGTTGGAGGCTTTATTTCATAAACACTAGGGTTACCATCCATATGGAATCCTCTAGTGGGTCTGTCTAGTAAACTTGCCTACAGCAAGCACACATGTATTGCACCAGGTTGTCGGCGAACAATCTTGACAAGTGAGATCAGTCAATATCTTTTGATAGGGTTTTTCAACACTATGATAGACTTATCGTATTATCTGTGTCCTTGGTCAGAATAATACTGGAGCTACAAACATTTCTAGAATGGCCACCATATGTGATCATAGGGTTCTCACTATCAAGATTTGAAACATTTGATACACTCGTCACGGTTCTACCATCTTAAAGACATATAGCAATACACACAATTATGATTTACATGATATAGAAGAAAATTACCTTTTATTGATTAATAAACATTATTACAAAGAGTCAATTCTACAATAATTGATTGGCTCTAGGGCACCTACTTTGACAATCTCCCACTTGCACTATAGCCAATCATTCATATACTAAATACCGGATGACCCTAAGTGCTCATCAAGCTTCTACTATAACAGAAACTTTAACCGTGAGTTAGTAGGTATTCTATGAATTCGCACATCCCTTTTTTTGATCGATATCTTAGATCAGATTTAATAAACTAAGTAAGTGTTTGGACTACTGGTGAGACTGTGGTTCCTTAGCCATAGCAATGGCTCCATTGTTGTCGTAGTAGAACTTTACTAAATCAGCAATGCTTGGAACCACATCAAGTTTAGTAATGAACTTCTTGATCCAAACCGCCTACACGACTGCATTAGATAATACGATATACTTAGCATCAGTTGTAGAATCCACTGCAGTACTTTGCTTCGACCTCTTCCAGCTCACTACAGCTCTATTGAGACAAAATATAAACCTAGATTGCAAATGAAAATCATCTTTATCCATTTGGAAACTAGCATCATTGTATCCTCTTACAGTGAGCTCATCTTCCCCTCCATAAAATAAGAACATATCCTTAGTCATTTTCAAGTACTTAAGGATGTCCTTGACACCCATCCAGTGTCGCTCTCTTGGATTCGATTGATATCTTCTACAAGTGCTTAATATACATGAGACATCAATTTGAGTACACAATATGACATCACTCACTTGGATCTGATTGATATCTGCTACAAGTGCTTAATGCACATGAGACATCAATCCAAGCATACAACATGGAATCGCTCACTTGGATCCGATTGATATCTACTGCAAGTGCTTAATGCATATGAGACATCAATCCAAGCATACAACATGGCATCCATGATGGATCCAATTGCTGATGCATATGAGATCCTCTTCATTCTATCTCTCTCATTGTGTATTTTAGGACACAAATCCTTAGAGAGATAGACACTATGTGACATCGAAAGAAATCCATTCTTGGATTTTTCCACACTGAATCTCTTCAGTACCTTATCTACGTATGTACTCTGACTTAGGCCAAGCAACCTACGAGTCATAGGGGTGAGCATGGGTAGCGGGTAGAACCGAAACCGGGGGTAAGAACCAGAACCAGAACCGGAACCTACCCAGAACCTGCACTGTGCGGGTAGGTTCCGGTTCCAATTTTTTGGAATCGCTACTGTGCGGTTCCGGTTCCGGTTCTTGCATGTGGAGGAACCGGAACCGGAACCAGAACCTGTAAAAAGGATACCCTGTTTGGAACCTGTAGGGGGTACCCGGTTTGGAACCTGGTTTGGAACCTGTTTAGANGAGAGAGAGAGAGAGATCAGACGACGCGTTTTCAGTTTCAAGATCTATAAACAAAGATGGCCATGGGCCCCTCTTATTAGTTATTATCCGGTAAAACTCTGATTGATGGAAGTCCACATGGCATGTGCTCTCCATGTGACACAGTTCTCCGTTTTGGGCGAATTGCCTTACTTTATGTTGACCACGTCTTTTTCTACTATAATTACAAGTATAACTACGTACAATTGAGCAGAAAGCTTTAAAATTTTATTTATTTAAAATATTTTATTGGATTAACTTTGAACTGTTGTGTCCAATGACTTTACAGCATTGTTTTTAATGATTAATATGTCATACATTGTTTTCCTTGGTCTTTTATGGCCATGTCCCAGCTGTCTACAGACAAAAAGAGAGCTCACATTCCTACTAATTTCAAGGAAATTACAAAGGCAACATTATATTTTCTATTATTAACTTATATCCTATGCATAGGTTTGGAGCATTATTTTCCAGCTTTAATTTTGTTGATATCCATTTTTTTATAAAGCTCAAAAGATTGAAAAAGGCCCATGTCATCACTTTATAAAGGCTGTGCATCAAGCAACATGTGACATTTAACATTGTTTAAGTATTACAGTAAGACTTTTTTTTTTTTTCTTTTTTATAATGGTATTCTATATAAAAATAACTTTTATATAATTATAAAAAATTATAATCACAATTTGAGATAGTTATAAATAAAAATAAACTCCACGTTATAATAAATTATAATTTTTCTAATTCATGTCTTAAGAAAGTTACTTCCATATCTGTATATTGCCAAAAAAAATAAAAATGTTATGTTACATTAAATTTTAAGATAAAATAAAATATTTATCTAAAGTTGTTTGAGATAATGATTTATGTTTTAGAGTTATTTACCATATCTTTTAATTTGTGGATACGTAATAACTCACTAGCACGAATATTTTCTTGTTGAAGCCAAAATATTTCTAACCTCTTAAACATGTTTAGAGCTTCTTGATACGAAACTTTTTGTATTTCTCTACTATCATATTCAGGATTTTTTTTTTTTTCTCTTCTTATCTAATTACAGTAATGATTATTAAAATAATGAATTGAAATTTTAATACATATTACTAAAATATAAATTATAAAATAAGAAATCAAAATAGTAATTTTTATAACTATACCTCTATTAAGTTGTAACCTCCTTATATTAATAAATTAATTTGGTCCCACCATTATGATTATATAGAGGTTTTACTGTATAAAGGTATCTTATAAATCTTAGAAAAGAAAAAGAAGAAATAACTATTTAAAAGAATACGGTTAGATATAAAAAAATATGAGATCTAAAATATTAATTCATGTCACTGAGGAGAAACATTAAGTAATTTTGGATCATCATGAGCTTTTAATTCAATTATGGTTGACCTAAATCTTTATTATTTTTTTATCTAACTACAAGTATAAAGTTTTGAAATAAAAAAGTATGGAGTAAGAAGAATAGTTTTTTTTAATTCTCGCTTAAAGTAGAAGATGGGGCTAAATTTCATTTCATGCATTCTAATCCAATAAAAGCCCAAAGAAAGCCCAACTGGACCAGCCGCTATTTCGAATTTTTTCTTTTAATCCCATAAATTTCATAATTAGTAATTACTTCACAAATTTGAGTTTCAAATTAGAAACCAAAATAAAAAAAAAAAAATTATAAATTCGATAAAAAAAAAAGCTTTTGATTATGTAACTGGAGGAAACTCGAGCTAATCCTTTGTAGATGTTATTTCTAACTTTTTTTAATAACTAGATTATAATACGGTAGATATTCAAAACACGATTGAATTATATTTTCTATTTTCTCAAAAATATATTTTATCGTGACTTGATGACACCAAATTGATCTAAAATAAATAAACATGATAAAATATATATGCACTAAGTTTTGAAGATATTATAAAAAAATACGTGAAATAATAAGAAAGCTCATGGATTATAATAGTAAATTTTTAAGATATAATATGAGTAAAAACACTATGTGGGAAATTTTTTATAATCTTAATGATAATAAAATATAGTTTACTTATAAATACAATAGTTATTTCCCAAATAATAATAATAATAATAAGACATAAAATATTGGCTTAAGGAATTATCAAATAATAAGATTTTAAGATAAATCTAATATCTTCTACAAAACAATTCTATTAATAAAAAAAATACAAACTCCTAATTAATAGTGAATTTCTGAGGTTCTTTTTGAGCTAAGAATTTGGGTGGTAACAGAAAACGACGTCGTGACTGGCTCTGCCATTAGAAAAATAAAAAATCCCTAAATTATATTGGTCCAGAAATGGACATGTGTTAAAAATCTTAATCTAACGGCTGAAACCAAATTAATTAATCGATAAACACAATCTAATCAATACACGTGAGATATAAATTGTTTTGTATTCTGCCTGCCTGAAAATCCCCAGAATTCTGGTTCGTGATCGACACACGCATTTTTGTTCAGCTCTCTTTCCTTGAAAATTTGAGGTAAAATCTTCTTCCTTCTCTCCATTTCATTTCTTTTTTTGAACCAAATCCTGAATTCCCATGTAATATAATCCTCTCGTTTTTTATTTATTTACTTTTAATTAATTTAATCATACTTGTCTTTACATTTTCTCTTCGTAAAATTTTAATTGATATTGGTTCAATGCATATTTCAGAAGCTGAATAAGGGATAATTATTGCTTGAATTTTCACATTTAGAGGGTTGTGTTTTTTCAGTGTTATTATTGTTATGAACATGATATATTTGAAACGTGCGTTTGAATTTAAAATTTTTAGTAGAGAGAGAATTTTGTGTGAATATTTTTTAGTTTGACAGTGTTTTCCCGATAGAGGAAATTGCTGTTTAAAGGTGTGGAAGATTGAGAGATTTTATGAAGGGACCTTTTTTATTTTTTTTATCATTTTGAGAGATTGAAGAATTGACTACATGACTAAGCTTTGTTGAATATTTGTTGTGAGTATGTTGCAATAGCGTTTTTGTGTTTCTCTTCCCTATTAACTAAAATAATTGGTTCGTATGAGATATTAAACAATCTGAATTTGCTTTCTCTTGTTACGTTCTCATTGCCTTTAAACTTTTATTAACCAGGGATAAGAGTCTTTTATTTTTTTTGTAGATAAAATTCTTTGAGCGAAGCCATGGATTTCTTCTTTAAGGGAATGAATGAAGAGCCATCTGACTGCTCCTTTGATGAGGAGGACATTCAGAAATGTCCATTTCTAAGGAACATCAACAAAACCACAAGCTTTTCATTCTCTTCAGTGAATTTTCCAATGCCCGTACGTTACTCTCTTCCTAAATTGCTTTTTTTCCCTTGATGATCTTTATAGTCTTGAGTGTTGATGTGCATTTAATTATGCTGAACTGTTATTGTCGCTGTGCACTTGAATTTGAGCTACTTCTTCCACAGATATGGGGAGCCAAGGGTCCAATATTTGAAGATGGTCCGAATTTTAGCACAGCATTTAAGCTCTTTCATGGGAGGGATGGGGTTGTTCCTCTTTCAGGGAGGCCGTCTTTTCATAATGACCATGAGCTTGCATCTCAGTTCAATCCCTTAGCAGCAAAAGCAGCCACGACCAGCCTATCAGCATTTGGCCTGGGAGGTCCATTCAGCTTTGGACCCTTTAATGACAAATGGAGAAAGCAGCAGAAGAAATCTGAGGCACCCAACAATAGAGACATGTCTTCGCAGGTAGATATGTTCTTTTGGCAAATGTGGTATTATAGTCTAATGAGGGAATTGATCTAAATATAAGTTAATTGTAAAGGAAATTTCATTTGAGTGGGTATCATTGTGAAAGAAGTCTAGGGCTTGCTACTGTGGAAAGGCAAGGGATATGAAGATGGGTCAATCAAATAATTCTTATTCAACGAACGAATCCAAGATACTGATATCAAAACAAGTTGCTGTTGTTTTCTTAACACTATCTATAATCCACCATTCTTTATTTTTAAACAGTGTGTATAGATAGACAGGATCTTAAGCCAGCCATATCTTACATACAGAACTCCATGGCATAAGAAAATCCATATTGCTGCATAATTAACTTTGTAAAATTTAATTACACCGATTCCTCCCGAAGATGGTTTACAACAAATATTTCATTTTAAATGATATATGATAAAATATATTATCTCGTAATAATCATAATCCTTTAATTGACATTGCCTTTTGTTACTGATCTATCAGAATCATAATTCATCAAAACATGAAGCATTGGGAAAAGAGTGGTTAGAAATGGGAAACTGCCCACTTGCAAAGTCTTACAGAGCTGTTAGTCGGGTCCTTCCAATTGTGGCAACGGCTTTTCAGCCACCACCTGGAATGAAGCTTAGATGCCCGCCTGCTGTAGTTGCTGCAAGGGCTGCCCTAGCTCAGACTGCCCTTGTTAAAACCTTACGCCCTCAGCCACTACCTGCAAAAATGCTTGTCATTGCTCTCCTGGGAATGGCAGTTAATGTGCCATTGGGTGTATGGAAGGAGCATACACAAAAGTTTTCACTATCATGGTTTGCAGCTGTGCATGCGGCTGTGCCCTTTATAGCTATGCTTAGGAAGTCTGTTGCGATGCCCAAGATGGCTATGGTACTGACCATTGGAGCATCTATCTTGGGGCAGGTTATTGGCTCAAGAGCTGAGCGGCAGCGGCTGAAAGCAGTGATGGAGAGGGATAGGGTGGCTGCGCAGACAGCCATTGCTGCTGCTGTTGCAGCATATAGTCCAAACCAGGTTGATGGAACTACAGCAAATCATTGCAGTCGAGTGGGAATAATGTCAGAATCACTTTCTGTCACTGCTGAAAGATCCACTTCTTCCTCAGCCAATGTGTGCTTTTAACATCATAAGTTGCAGAGTGTGGAGTGAAATAGTAAGCAATGTAATAAGTATTGAGACTAGTAAAATTTAAAATTTAGTATCGGAGAGGGAACCTGCTTTAAATTGATATGCAGTATGAACCTCAGTTCTCTTGCTTATTTTATTATACGAAGTCTCATTTAGTTGGTTGTGTTGATTGTAAATCTCTTTGTGAACTTGTTACATAATGTAAATACTACCTTTAGCCAATAACTTGAAGTCACAGTGAAGGTTTGACAGTTGAAGTATATCTTTCTTTTCAGTGGTTGTTGCCTACTCATTTAATTTGCTTCACTTATAGGCTGACGGTTCAATTTTAACCGCATGATCTTAGGAGTTTGATAGAACCCCCTGCTAATTCAACCAATCTCACCAGCAAATAATGCTCAAAACACAATTTAACAATAACCAATTCCGCAACAGACCAGTATTGTATTGAAAATAAAGGAAAACAATGACAGAAATGCAATTACAAGAACGGATGGATCCCAGCAGTTCAAGGAGCTGGGGGCCTCCCAAAAGACATTTGACAATATTTCCTACCTTAAGAAATAGCTCAATCTCCTAATATACTGTTTACTACCAAAATTATTCCCCTAACAAACCTCACTACATCACACTTCCAGCACCCTTTCCAGTACCATATTTACCTTGTGCCGCTGGTAAACCTTGCTAACCGAAGGCCTATCAAAGTTCTAAATTGTTCTTTAGATTATGTGAACCAAGAATATTAATGAACCAGAGGCAATGATAAATTAACAAAACTTATGTATTACCGTTGTAGCATTATCAACCGTTTAACTTTCTAAATTGAGCTTAACGATTTTATTCAAGTTAGATTCATTCAAACTTACACACAACCAAAGAAACACTACAAAATTTGCAAAACCATCTATCTACAAACAAAATATAATAAAATAAGGGGGAAACAAAATATCTTAATACCCTCCACAAAAGTACACGCTTCGTGAGATGATGAAGCTGTAGAAACAAGATGCCTGCCATGCCATACATGAGCTCCCAAAACAGCTGTACATAGGACCCATCAACCTAAATCAAAACAGAGCATTGAAATCGCTATATACCAATCAAGATAACATGATATTTAACAACCAGACATCAATTTGTACAGATTTCTTCTAGTCGCTTCAAAAGCCACCAACTTGTTGCCTTGGGGCATTCCCATATCTCCCAGGGGAAATGCCAATGCCGCTGCTTCCATAAGCTGGAGGAGCTGTATTCCGTCCAGGACAGTCTTTTGCCCAATGTCCGAATTTGTGGCATTTATAACACTCACCAGATGCACCACCGCCTACTCCACCGCCTACTCCAGGGGATACTCTGTTGGAATAGCCTCCTGCCATGGACTGTCCAGGCCCACTCATAATGCTCGGGCAATTTGCAGAGCTATGACCAGCAGCCCCGCAACTGCTACAGCATTCCTGCATGGGAGTGCCGGCAACAGCAAGCCTTGAACCACTGTACTGGTTTCCATACTGCCCCATTTGATTGGCCATTAACCCGAAATCTCTACTAGCATTGCTGTTAGTCCCCACATAGTTTGCAAATGCTGGTGCAGGTTGTCTGTTTCCGATACTCCCAGCTCCTCTATTACTCATTCCAGAATTAGGAACTGAACTTTCTGCCTTTGAGGTATAAGAACTTAAATCTCCTGATTTAAGCTTATCCATCATATCCAAAAGAAACCTGGTATCAGATGAATGATTATACTTTTCCACCTTGACTACTGTTGACTTTACACGTTGTTCATCACCGAATGTTTCCTCCTTTACTTTCAACTTGAATATATATTTTGAAAAGGTAGCATTCCGTAAGGTTTCTGAAAATTTCTCTTCATTTTGATCAACATATTTCAAGTAGTACAAATCTTTTGCAGAAATGCCCAGGATCTCCTCACCACACTCCTGAAATGCATTTACCCATGTTAAGCCAGTATGATCCTGTATCTGGAACTGGATTATATACCTATAGTCACATTCAGCAACAGACTGATCACACCTATCACAATGCCACCTCCCATCTCCGTTATTTGTAACCTTTTTGTTGCATGGTCGATCCACAATCATGATAGGACAAGCTGTGTAACAAAAATTGTCAAATTTTATGTATACAACTGTTGCATTGACAGTGATCCAATCTGGCTTCTCCTTTGTCCCTAAACCCTCATCTTTAATTTGAGATATAGTCTTTCGGATATCCGACCTAACCACACTCAATGTTTCCCTGGAAATGGAGACTGACTGGATATTCTTTCCTTCCTTGTCAAACCATTCTCTTAACTTGTGAGCCTCGGGAAAATCAGGTTCCATAAACAGCTGACTTGACAAAATAGTCCCCACTGCTTTCCCATTAAAATCATTGACCCTGGCTGATTTCACAGCAAGAACTGGAAAGATCCCAGAATCACACATTTCTTGCAGTCTTTGTCCGTCATCATTACAGAAGGTTCCCCATAGGGTTAATTCAACACTTCGCCCGGACATATCTTTCAAATGGAGGGTTCTCTTGTGAGTTTCAGTACCATTTTTTCTCATTATTGAAGCAGCTGGACTAATAAATGAGACCACACCAATAACATCCACAACAGAGTTGTTCTCCATGGCTTCAATATCACTTATGGAACAGAAATGAAACTGCTGTTGTGGAATTGAATTGTCATCCTCCACGCACAGCTGTACCATTGACGTAGTATCAAGAAAAATTTCAAGATCATTATGAAGGTGATTGAAGGTCTTTTGAGCAGGTTTTAAAGTTCCCCTAGAAATCAAATAAACTTTACCTGCTTCAACTTGGTGGTAAAATTGGTCCACCACTGCATTAAAGCAGGTTGCCCTGATTTCGCCACCATCAGAGTCAAGAAGATCAAAATGGAAAACTTTACCATCACCACGTTGATTGTTATAGTGCCTAAGTTCTCCCTTGGATGTTACACGAGCCTTGATTGTCCACTTGCCCTGGTAGGGATTAAGAGCACCAATGGGAATTATCCTGGGAAGTGTTTCACTCTTAGCCACTTGTCCTCTGTTCCCAAACATAGCAGGTGGCTGCATATAGGCTGGTTGAGGCTTACGAGCATAATTGCTTTGATAAGACCGGGAAAGTTCCGGCCTAGGGTCACCAAAACTCATGTTCTGATTGTTAAATGATCCTGATCCACCAGAAAATCTAGCACCAGACTCTGATTTAGAGTAACTGGATGTTTCATTTGTTGTAACATATCTTGCTGGATCAGAATTGCTGGAATATGAATTACCCGGTAATTGATTCATTCTCATGTTAGCATGTTGGGGAGATGTACCACTTACATTTGGTTTATCAACTGGCGCACCAACACCAGAAAATCTAGCACCAGGCTCTGGTTTAGAATAACAATTGTTCTTTAGATTATGTGAACCAAGAATATTAATGAACCAGAGGCAATGATAAATTAACAAAACTTATGTATTACCCTTGTAGCATTATCAACCGTTTAACTTTCTAAATTGAGCTTAACAATTTTATTCAAGTTAGATTCATTCAAACTTGCACACAACCAATGAAACACTACAAAATTTGCAAAACCATCTATCTACAAACAAAATATAATAAAATAAGGGGGAAACAAAATATCTTAATACCCTCCACAAAAGTACACGCTTCGTGAGATGATGAAGCTGTAGAAACAAGATGCCTGCCATGCCATACATGAGCTCCCAAAACAGCTGTACATAGGACCCATCAACCTAAATCAAAACAGAGCATTGAAATCGCTATATACCAATCAAGATAACATGATATTTAACAACCAGACATCAATTTGTACAGATTTCTTCTAGTCGCTTCAAAAGCCACCAACTTGTTGCCTTGGGGCATTCCCATATCTCCCAGGGGAAATGCCAATGCCGCTGCTTCCATAAGCTGGAGGAGCTGTATTCCGTCCAGGACAGTCTTTTGCCCAATGTCCGAATTTGTGGCATTTATAACACTCACCAGATGCACCACCGCCTACTCCACCGCCTACTCCAGGGGATACTCTGTTGGAATAGCCTCCTGCCATGGACTGTCCAGGCCCACTCATAATGCTCGGGCAATTTGCAGAGCTATGACCAGCAGCCCCGCAACTGCTACAGCATTCCTGCATGGGAGTGCCGGCAACAGCAAGCCTTGAACCACTGTACTGGTTTCCATACTGCCCCATTTGATTGGCCATTAACCCGAAATCTCTACTAGCATTGCTGTTAGTCCCCACATAGTTTGCAAATGCTGGTGCAGGTTGTCTGTTTCCGATACTCCCAGCTCCTCTATTACTCATTCCAGAATTAGGAACTGAACTTTCTGCCTTTGAGGTATAAGAACTTAAATCTCCTGATTTAAGCTTATCCATCATATCCAAAAGAAACCTGGTATCAGATGAATGATTATACTTTTCCACCTTGACTACTGTTGACTTTACACGTTGTTCATCACCGAATGTTTCCTCCTTTACTTTCAACTTGAATATATATTTTGAAAAGGTAGCATTCCGTAAGGTTTCTGAAAATTTCTCTTCATTTTGATCAACATATTTCAAGTAGTACAAATCTTTTGCAGAAATGCCCAGGATCTCCTCACCACACTCCTGAAATGCATTTACCCATGTTAAGCCAGTATGATCCTGTATCTGGAACTGGATTATATACCTATAGTCACATTCAGCAACAGACTGATCACACCTATCACAATGCCACCTCCCATCTCCGTTATTTGTAACCTTTTTGTTGCATGGTCGATCCACAATCATGATAGGACAAGCTGTGTAACAAAAATTGTCAAATTTTATGTATACAACTGTTGCATTGACAGTGATCCAATCTGGCTTCTCCTTTGTCCCTAAACCCTCATCTTTAATTTGAGATATAGTCTTTCGGATATCCGACCTAACCACACTCAATGTTTCCCTGGAAATGGAGACTGACTGGATATTCTTTCCTTCCTTGTCAAACCATTCTCTTAACTTGTGAGCCTCGGGAAAATCAGGTTCCATAAACAGCTGACTTGACAAAATAGTCCCCACTGCTTTCCCATTAAAATCATTGACCCTGGCTGATTTCACAGCAAGAACTGGAAAGATCCCAGAATCACACATTTCTTGCAGTCTTTGTCCGTCATCATTACAGAAGGTTCCCCATAGGGTTAATTCAACACTTCGCCCGGACATATCTTTCAAATGGAGGGTTCTCTTGTGAGTTTCAGTACCATTTTTTCTCATTATTGAAGCAGCTGGACTAATAAATGAGACCACACCAATAACATCCACAACAGAGTTGTTCTCCATGGCTTCAATATCACTTATGGAACAGAAATGAAACTGCTGTTGTGGAATTGAATTGTCATCCTCCACGCACAGCTGTACCATTGACGTAGTATCAAGAAAAATTTCAAGATCATTATGAAGGTGATTGAAGGTCTTTTGAGCAGGTTTTAAAGTTCCCCTAGAAATCAAATAAACTTTACCTGCTTCAACTTGGTGGTAAAATTGGTCCACCACTGCATTAAAGCAGGTTGCCCTGATTTCGCCACCATCAGAGTCAAGAAGATCAAAATGGAAAACTTTACCATCACCACGTTGATTGTTATAGTGCCTAAGTTCTCCCTTGGATGTTACACGAGCCTTGATTGTCCACTTGCCCTGGTAGGGATTAAGAGCACCAATGGGAATTATCCTGGGAAGTGTTTCACTCTTAGCCACTTGTCCTCTGTTCCCATACATAGCAGGTGGCTGCATATAGGCTGGTTGAGGCGTACGAGCATAATTGCTTTGATAAGACCGGGAAAGTTCCAGCCTAGGGTCACCAAAACTCATGTTCTGATTGTTAAATGATCCTGATCCACCAGAAAATCTAGCACCAGACTCTGATTTAGAGTAACTGGATGTTTCATTTGTTGTAACATATCTTGCTGGATCAGAATTGCTGGAATATGAATTACCCGGTAATTGATTCATTCTCATGTTAGCATGTTGGGGAGATGTACCACTTACATTTGGTTTATCAACTGGCGCACCAACACCAGAAAATCTAGCACCAGGCTCTGGTTTAGAATAACATGGTGTTTCATTTGTTGTAACACAACTTGCAGGATCAGAATTGCTGGAATATGAAGTACCCGATAAATGATTCATACTCCTGTTAGCATGTTGTGGAGATGTACCAGTCACATTTGATTTATCAACTGACCCACCAGCAAGCGAGCTTCCACCATAATGTTGAGGATTCCCGGTAACTGCCCTCAATTGATCATTGGACACTTGCGCAGGTGCAGAAGGTCTTTGCGCAGGTACAGGTTTTCCAATTGGCTTACAATTTTGCATTATCACCTCCAAATCCATAACAATAACAATCCTGAACCCAGCGAATAAAATCACCATCTCATCAAAACAAATCTAACATACAAACTATCATAATACAAACGAACATCCAAAAAAAAAAAAAAAAACCTTTATCAATAAATTTATGAACAGCCCCATTTCCCTTTAGAGCTATAAAAATTCTATAACCTAACTCCATTTTCTAAGCACACCCAATACAGAAAATTTTATAATAATAATTTCACTTCCATACCAACGAAAATAGAGAATACATTTCCTGCAGATAATTAACTCACATGCGGTTTTGGATAACGTTACAGGTGAACTTGGTTAACCTAACAACGGAGCCAATCTGCAATTGCCCGGAATGGACTAACTCATTTCTCTGGGTGGCGAGCATGCCTTGCTGACTCAGCGATCCGTCCGATAGCACCATTCTGAATCTCTGTTGTTGCTGTTGCTGCTGTTGCTTAGAAACAACGAGCTTTAAATCCATCACTTGAAGCACGGGTATCAAGTGGTTGTCCGTCGTAACATCGCCCTTGCATATCAACTCTATCGCACCCTCCGTCAAATTTATCGCCATCCAGTAACGGAACTGGGGAATTGATCCAAAATGAACGGAAAGTTTAAAGCTTTTTTTCTGAAAACCCTAGGAGAGAGAAACTAAAGCGCCAGGGCGAGTGAATGTTTTGAGAGGGAAAATGGAAGGTCTGCTTTTTGGAAATTTTGGCTCCAAGTGAGAAATGTCTTCCCACGTTTGAGTATAACAAAAAAATAAGGTCATTATCAAGAAACCCCCTATATTTTTCTTAAACGCGCTTCAATGTAAAATTACACGGAGAAGGAGAATGATGCCTATATTTTTCCATCATCTAAAATTATATCTTCAACAGCAGAATCAGAATGGTCTTGTGAACGACAAATACAAAAGCCCCCGAATATACAACAATCATCATTGGTTACAATCCTGCAAGTCGAGGTGTTTTCCCAAAAAATAAAAATATTTTTCTCACATAAGTGATACCATAGTTAATGTCATATAAGATTGAATTAAGCAGACGAGACGAGACTAACAAGATGAAACGATTAAGAAAAGCAGGAAAGTTGACATTAACGAAACTTTCTCCATTTGTCCTTGATGATCAAGCGATTTGAGAAAATGGAAATTAGAGAACTTGTTACTGGTAATGTTTGTGCATNATGTCTTCCCACGTTTGAGTATAACAAAAAAATAAGGTCATTATCAAGAAACCCCCTATATTTTTCTTAAACGCGCTTCAATGTAAAATTACACGGAGAAGGAGAATGATGCCTATATTTTTCCATCATCTAAAATTATATCTTCAACAGCAGAATCAGAATGGTCTTGTGAACGACAAATACAGTTGCCAAGAATACAAAAGCCCCCGAACATACAACAATCATCATTGGTTACAATCCTGCAAGTCGAGGTGTTTTCCCAAAAATAAAAATATTTTTCTCACATAAGTGATACCATAGTTAATGTCATATAAGATTGAATTAAGCAGACGAGACGAGACTAACAAGATGAAACGATTAAGAAAAGCAGGAAAGTTGACATTAACGAAACTTTCTCCATTTGTCCTTGATGATCAAGCGATTTGAGAAAATGGAAATTAGAGAACTTGTTACTGGTAATGTTTGTGTATTGGAAAAGAGGGAAATTTTATAGAAGAAATAGGGTAGATAAAGAATTAATTATCATTAAACAAAATAATTAATTTTGTTTTTAATGAGGAGATTTGCGTTTTTATTTGATTTAAACGTCTTTATTTCCACATATGTAAAATAAAACTAAACTTTCTTATCATTTAAATACTTGAGAGCAAAAATACCATTATTTATTAATTTTTAGACTTTGAAATATTATCTAAAATTAAATGGCCATAAAAAGATTAGATTCATTAGGAAATCTTACTTGCTTATTTAAATGTTTGTGTAAAGCACAAAGTTTGCGTAATATCCACATGAAATTATGTTCACTTCCCATACTATTCTATAGTTTCCATACAATCAGCATTTCAAGAACAATGCACCAAATTTTGGACATCATCCCCTAGCACCATTGAGGATGTCATAAACCCGGCACGGCCTGACCAATTCAATCGAGAACCAGTGATCGAGCCGGGTCGGTTCAGCCCAAAAACCAGAATTTTCAAATAACCTAGTTTGAATCACGGTTGGACCGGATTTTTTGTTGCGAACCGTCGGTCCAACCGGTTCGACCCAATGGTTGAACTGTTTTTTGATTATTTTTTTATTTTTTTATATGTCATGTTGATGTTATAATGACATCACGGTTTGACTCAACGGTTGACCCGGTTCGACCGACCAACTCGGTGACCTGACCAGGTCACTCCTTGGGATTGAGTTTTAAAATCTTGGTCATACCTTAAAAAAAAATTGAAAAAAATATAAACAACTAATATTACTATTTTTCTCAATTTAAATAATTTTTTTCATTCAAAGTGAAACTTTAGTTAATCAATTAATAAATAACGCGAATAAATATGTAAAAGATAAACGAGGAGAGGAGACTAACTCGATGAAACTATCAAGAAGATCACAAAAGCCCATTTCGGTGAAGCCTTCTGCAATTAGTTGTTGAGAGTTTGTGAGCTTATATTTTAATAAATTAAGTAGGGGGGAGGGGAGGATTTATAAAAGACAGAGGGTAGTGAAAGAATTAATTACCAATAAAAATATAAATAATTTACTGCATGTTTGGCTTAGTATTTTTATTCCTATTCTCCAAATATTGTTTGACACATTATTCCAGAAATATTACCCTATTTTTTTAATTACTTTTAGTCCCTATAAAGTTATTAATTTCACTAAATACCCCTTGAAAAAAAAGTTTAAAAATTAACAAAAACACCCCCATCAACCCAACTTATCAGATTCTGGTAACCACCGTCGTTGATAGCCGGAATATGTACAATGGCCTAACTTCCGACCAGAAATGGCCGAAATTTCACCGACGTGGCCTTTTCTGGCCAGATCCACCATAGATCTGGCCGGAAAAGGCCAGATCTGGTCGTCAACGACGACCAAAGAAATGGTCGTCATTGACCGAAAACGACGGCCACATTTTTGGCCATCGTTGACCGAAAACGACGGCCACATCTTTGGCCGTCGCTGACGGCCAAAGATGGCTGTCGTTTGGCCTTTTCCGGCCGTTGACGGCCATAACAGACCATAGATCTGGCCTTTTCCGGCCAGATCCACCATGGATCTGGCTGGAAAAGGCCATAACGACGTGACTGGTCTGTGCCGTAATGAAATTTTTCGGCCAGATTCTGGCGGTGGTGGCCGGAATCTGGCACTGCAGGTGGTGGGGTGTTTTTGTCATTTTATATGTTAGGGTCTTTAATTAAATTAGTAAACCTAAGGGCTTTTTCATAAATTTTTAAAATTTACCTCGTAATACTCCCATATCCAATAACCCAATACTATCCCCAAAATACTAAACCAAACACACCCTTAGTATGTAATGAGTAGATTATGTTTTGATTTGATTTGTTTAAGGTTTTAAAAAGTAGTTTAATTAAGGTATCTAATGAGGAGATTATGCCATCATTAAATTTGGTTTAAGAATTTAAGGTATCTAATGAGGAGATTGTGTCATGGTTTTATTTGGTAATTATTGTTCAAGGATTTGAAGTAATAGATTTAAGGATTTTTTTTACCTTTGAAGATGGAGAATTAACATAACTTTTGATTTTTTTTTTTTTTATTTGAGAAGAAGTAAAAAAAAGTTTTATTGTTTGGTCTAAGGATTTTTTTTACCTTTGAAGATGGGGAATTAACATAACTTTTGATTTTTATTTTTTTTTTTATTTCAGAAGAAGTAAAAAAAAGTTTTATTGTTTGGTCTAAGTTGAGGTTAAATTTATAAGATCCATACTAAAAGTTGTATTGTTAAAACAAGTTTTCTAAACGATTGTGTTTGTATTTAGTTTTTAAGAACTGTTTCAATTATTTAATTAGAGACATTAGCTAAAATAAAAGATAAAATTCATTAAGATATCTTATTTTTCATCAATTGATGGTAAAAGAAAAATCTATTTCGAGCAGTTAAGTATGGAAAAGGTTGCACTCACAATATTTTCTCACAAATTTTCTCTTACAACTTTGACATGAAAGCTCGTAATGGGTTTCACCTGATAAATTATGGTTGACCAATTATGAGTTGTTACATCAAAATTGTAAGAAAAAGTTTATAAAAAGAGGTTGTGGATATAGCATTAATCTTTTAAATATTTAACTTCTACCACGTAATCCTGCCCTTGATACAATTAACATTTTCTATAATTGAAATTGTTTCTTCAGCAGCAGAATGGACTAGATCTTGGGACGGGGTTGGGGCTGGGGCTGGGAAATGGGCCTGGGCTGATCCACAAATACATATGCCAAGAAGACAAAAGCTTGGCCCTACTTGACATTTCTTAATTAAACAATCAGGATCGATAGAACAACCCAACACATTTAAGAGATCACCCCCTAACACCATTGAGGATGGCATGCCTACAAAAAGTATGGAAAAGAAAAAAATCAAAGAATATTACAATTTTTCTTAATTTAATTCTCAATTTTTTTTTTTATTCAAAATGAAGTGTTAATAAATTGATTTACAAACAATTTGAATAAATATATAAGATATAAACGAGAGGAGAAGAAAAGCTCGATGAAACAATCAAGAAGATAAACAAAGCTAATCTGATGAAGTCTTCTCCATTTAGTTTTTGAGAGTTTATTACTAATGTTTATGTGTTGCGTCAGATTAACTTGGGGTAGGGGAATATTTATATAAGACCAAGGGTGTGTTTGATTAAGGGAATGTTATATTATTAGGAATGTTACATTAATAAAAAAATATTTTACCTTGAAGATTACTGGGAATGTTTAAGGAAATGTATTTGGTTGGTTGCAATAAATTGGTGTATATGTTATATTAATATGTTTGGTTGGGAGGAATAATTTGATTGGTATGTTATATAAATTACTAAATTGCCCTCCTTTTTAAATATTAATATAATATTATTTTTATTATTATTTTTTGAATAATTTTTTTAACCCCCTATATTTCAGATTTAGCTAAAACACCCCAGCAATAAAAAAGTCTAAAACTTAACAAAAACACCCCCACCCACCCCAGGCTATTGGCTGCAGTGGCGATAGTGGAGATCTGGCTATTTTCGGCGCACTACTAGCCAGATTCGATCGATCATATGACATTCTGTCGTCGCCGATGACTTTTTTTATAATGTTCAAGGACATTTATATCTTAAAAAATTTGTATATAAGGATAAAATAGTCTATGAATATATTGGTAAATCCGAAGAACCAAAAAGGGATTTGCTAGATCCACTTGATGGCTTCAAGAATCAAGAATAATTTTTTTTTTCTTCTCCACTCAATGAAGAAGAACGTGAGAGGGAGAGTGGGATAGGTGGCTAGGGTTTTGAATGAAAAAAAATTATGTTGTTTTAATTTAAGTTGCACTTACATAGTGCAACAATTAAAACCCTATTCCACTTAGGAATAGTCATAGGCTCTAACCCTAATCCACAATTGCAACCAAACACCTCATTAATGGTATTTTAAATTTAATTAATTGTTTATTATAATTAAAATCAATTAG